AGCGCACCCCAGGAGCGGCCCTAGGGGAACAGCGGTGTCCGCACCTTTTGGGTTCTCCGGTCGTGCGCTTAGTGGGCCCTGGAAACGACAGGGCCGTTTTTTTAACCGGTTCCGTTTTGCCGTTTTTGTTGCCGGTTCCGACGCCGTTTTTTCACCGGTGCCGTCGCCGATGTTTGACCGGTTCTGGCTCCGGTTCCTATCCTGGAGCCGTTTCTTTGCCGTTTCCGGTCGCAGTTTCTTTGCCGTTTCCATTTTCAAGGGACATTCTTTTGGGAACGGTGAAAAAACGGCCCTGCCGTTTCCGGGGCCCACAAAGTCCACCACCACCACCACCACCACCACCACCACCACCATATGTAGGCCGAGGTTCGAAGAAGAAAAGCCGCGGCAAGCATAAAAATGTTGGGCGTTCCAGCCGCGGGAGTCCCCGAACAGTGGGGGGGCCAGGAAGGAAGGACGACGCACGGGAAGGACAGGAGGAGGTATGGCAAGAACAAGCATAAAAGCTTTGGGCGCTCCGCGCGGATTTCTTGGATCCACGCTGGGCCCCCCCTGCGGCGCCGCCGGCGCCGCCCCTGGCGCGCGCTCCGAGCGCCAGCGAGGGGGGTTCAGCGCAGATCCAAGAGAAGTCCGCGCGGAGCACCAAACGTTTATTGCGCGTTTGTGGCCTGTGCTTTCTTCCAGAGGTGGCAGAGTCGAAGACGGGCTCCTCCCGGGGCTCTCGGACGCCAGCGTCGGGCGCGGGCGCCGGCTCGCTGGCTCTTGCGCTGGCCTGCCCCGCAGCTCTGGCAGGCGGCCGCCGCCGTGCTCGGAGGGCCGTGCGCGCAGGCCGCTGCGCCGCTGCAGCACCGGCGGAGCAGCCGCTGCGCGGCAAGACGGCGTGCGTGACCGGCGCGAGCCGTGGCATCGGGAAGGGCATCGCCCTCGGCTTGGGCGAGGCTGTCAGGGGCTACGACGGGTAGGGGGAAATCGGCTCAGGGGGGAGCGCATCGCCCCCAATCGCTGATGGATCGCCGGTAGGGGTCTGACGGCCCCACCCCGCCCAAGAAGGTAGGGATGCGCCATCGGGGGCCTCTCGCCGAGCTTTGTGGCGGCTTACCGCCCATTCCAGGTCGATGTTTCCCCCCCTGAGCTGGCCCCCATACCTCTGTCGTTGCCCGTCAGGCGGGCGCCACCGTCTTCGTGACTGGGCGCTCAGAGGAGCAGCTGCGTGAGGTTGCAGACTGTGTGACCCGGGCTGGTGGCAGAGGCATCCCCCTGATCTGTGACCATGCAGACGATGGACGAGTGAAGGAGGCGTTCGAGGAGATCGGTGCGCAGACAGATGGCAAACTCGACATTCTGGTCAACAACGCCTGGCAGGACCCAGGCGCACGCAATCCAGAGACTTCTGACGCCCTCACGCGCGGTGCGAAGTTCTATGAGATGCCACTCGAGGTCTGGGATGACTGTCACAGAGTTGGGCTTCGGTCACACTACACATCCTCATATTTTGCTGTACCGCTCCTTCAAAAGGCGGCATCCAAGGATTGGCGACCTCTTATCTGCAACATCTCTGCTCCCGCAGCGATCACCTATTTTTTCGCTGCTGCTTATGGAGTTGGGAAAGCTGGTAGCGACCGCCTCACCCGCGACCTCCAAGTAGAGCTAGGTCCCGAAGGTATTGATTGCATCAGCCTATGGCCTGGCGTTGTCTACACTGAGGCCGTTCAGAAAATGTACGAGACGAATGATGTGGCTAGGCTGAACCGCGTGACTGGAGGTCAGGATCCAGACCGCGTGTGCGAGTCTCCTCTGCTCACTGGCCGAGTCACCGCGCGCTTCGCGGCAGACCAGAGCGTCCGCCAGCCGCCGTTCATCACCACAGATGGCATCAATGGCCGCATTGCCCTCGTCGCTGAAGCCGCCGCTGCCTTCGATCTTCGCGACGGAGGGCTGCCTGGTTCCCCAGCGGCCGAGCTGTACGGGAAGGATCGGGAGCCAGCGCCGTCGCTACGCTCTGGAGGCTACCTCCTCAGCGTCCTAGCCAAAGACGCCCTCCCTGATGATCTGAAGTGGATAATGGACCGCGACGGGCCGCTTGTTTCCGCTGTAAAGGATGTGAAGATCCCCTTCGACTGGATGGCCCGCGACGCACGAACCGAGGATCCTCGGGAGGAGGGTGCTGCGGCGGTCATGGAGAAGGCGCTAGGCATGTAGCTTGGTGCACGACGACTTCATGCGGGGCATCTGGGGCAGATCTGCAAGCGTCAATTTTCATGTGCAGCAGCGCGCGGATGAGCAGGGATGGCGTCGCCGGTCTCCCGATAGCGCAGCTGGCGCTGGCGCCTCTCTGGCCGAGGGGGCTTGGCGGCGGCAGTCGCGGGCGCCCCCGTCCTCCAGCTCCTCGCGGGAAGCCCGGGCACTCTGGACCGATGCGGCTTACCTCGACGAGCTCCCGGCCGCTTTGGGTGCGAGCTCCCGTCAGTTTCGTCCTCCTCCTCCTCCTCGTCCTCGTCCTTCTTCTTTTGCCTTTTGTCCTCATCGTCCCGTCAGTTTTGCCTTTTGCTTTCTGTCCTCTCCTCACCGTCCTCTTTGCTTCTTTTGCCTTTTGTCCTCTCCTCATCGTCCTCTCCTCATCGTCCCGTCAGCTTTGTCCTCTCCTCATCGTCTTCGTCAGCGCCGCCCAGCTTCTTTTGCTGTTCGCCCCCGCTCTTGCGTCCACATCCAGATAAGCACTTGGTGCCGGTGGACTCCGGCAACTTCTTGCGTGAATTTTCTGGGCCTTCGGCGACAGCCCCTTCCTCTATCGACCTGTCGACACCGTGTGCTTCGAGCTCCTCGCGAGCTCCCTACAGGTGCGCGTTGGTCGCCCCTGCTGAGAACAGGTTCGGTCCCACGCGGCCGCCTGTGACTGTGCCGTTGTGTCTTTGTCTCCGCTCTCCCGTCGAGGTTCTCCTCGGCAGTCAGTCGTCAAGCACATGTGTGAGCCGCTGGATCCCCGCGAAAAGAATACGTGGTTCAGTCTATGTTGCGCTCTAGATGTTGTGCAATCTATGTGGTGCGCTCTGTGTGGTGCAATCAGCGTTGTGCAAACGATGTGGTGCAACCTACATGTGTAGATGTGTTGTTTTAGCTGTGCAATCGACGTGGTGCAATCTATCTTGTGACGTTTGGCTCATTCCGCCACCGTGCATGGGCCGTCTTGGGCCGTCTTGAGGGCCTCTTGGGGATCTCCTGGCCCGTCTCGGGGCGCTCTTGGGCCCCAAAAGGTCACGCGACAAGATGCGCCAAGGCTCAGCGGATCCGCGCCAACTCCCGGGATATTTGTGAATTTGGGCTCTGGGGCCTTAAGAATCTCCTCAGGACTGAGGACTCTGCCTCCGGGGAATTTCCACAGGACCTGACGACACGCCTACCCCGTGCCCAGAGGCACGGTGGTGGATGTTGCACATTGTATTTGATGCAATTTTTGAGGTGCAAGATATGTGGTGCAGTAGATGTCGTGCGTTCTATGTGGTGCAATCAATCACTTGCTCAACTTGAAGCTGTCCTCTCCACTGTTCGTGCAAACATCCCACCCTCCCACCCGCAACTTGGTCGCAATACCTCTTAAGACCGTGACAGTGGGTACCAAATTGCACTTGGCAGCGACACCGACACCGACGACAGCGACAACGACGACAACGACGCCGCCGACAACGACTACGACGACACCGGCGACGTCTTCAACGACTTCGATAAAGACGACAACGACGACGACGACGACGACGCTGACGACGACGACGACACCGACGACGACGACGACGACGACGACGACGACGACGACACCGACGACGACGACGACGACGACGACTCCGACGCCGACGACGACGACGACGACGATGACAACGCCGACGACGACGATGACGACGACGCCGGCGACGACGACGACGACGACGACGTCGACGAAGACGTCGACGACGACGTCGCAAACGAAAACGACGACGACGAGGGAGGAGGGAGGACGACGACGGCGACAACGTCGACCACGACGAGGGAGGAGGGAGAACGGCGACGACGCGAACGACGAAGAAGGAGGGAGGACGGCGACGCCGACGACGACAACGACGAGGGAGCAGGGAAGACGACGACAACTTTGACGACGGCGACCAAATAGGAGGGACAACGACGAAACGCCGACGAAGACGACGAGGGAGGAAGGACGACCACGGCGACAACGACGACGGAAACGACGACGACGACGAGGGAGGAGGGAGGACGGCGGCGACGACGACGACGCAAGATCGCGCGCGCACGTTTTTGTTGAACATCCGTGTTGCGGAACCCTGTGTTTTTGTATGTTGTTTGGACACTCGAATATCAAATCCTTCCGAAACCGGAGGTTTTTCAAGGATTTCGGCATGCGCGCGCGACGACGCGCGCGTGCGCACGTCATCCCGTGTTTCGCAGAGGATTCTCGCAACGGCACGCGCGCAAGGGCATTCGAAAGATTTCGACATGCGCGCGCGCGAAGCCCGTTTGGTAGCATGTTTCGAAAATGTTGCAAAACCGATCGTTTTCTTACGATTTCGCAGGAGCGCGCGCGTAAGCTTTTTCAGAACATCAGTGTTGCGAAACCTTGTGCTGTTTTAATGTTTTTTGTCAGCTCGATTTCGAAATCCGTCCGAGACCGAAGGTTTTTAAAGGATTTTGGCATGCGCGCGACGACGCGGGCGTGTGCATGTCGTCACATCTGTTGCAAGGGATTCTTGACAACTTATGTGTTTTGATCAACGAGTGTGCGCGCGTAGTATGTTTTGGAGAGCATAGCGGGAAGAGCCGATACCGGCTTGGCTGGGATAGTATGACTTCGCAGGTAGGGTGGACATTGGGTCAGAATTCTGTGTGTTTTGCATAAGTTCCTGGGTAGTTTTTAAGTCCGGGTGGTTGGGTGGTAGAGCCTATTTGTTTTTAGAGAGGAGAATCGACAGGGTACAATCCATGTGGCGCCATCTATGCTGTGCAGTTCATTTTACCTGCCTTGAAGCTGTTCTCTCCACTGCTCGTGCAAACATCCCACCCTCCCACCCGCAGCTTGGTCGCACGACTTCTTAAGACAGTGACGGTGGGTACCAAATGGCACTTGGCAACGACACCGACGCCGACAGCGACAGCGACAACGACGGCCACGACGTCGACGATGATTATAATGACACCGATGACGTCTCCGACGCCTTCGACGACGACGACAGCGACGACGACGACGACGCCGACGATGCCGACGACGACGACGACGCCGACGACGACGACGACAGACGACGACGCCGACGACAAGGACGACGACGACGACGACGTCGACGTCGACGACGACAACGACGAAGACGACGACGACGCTGCCAACGAAGACGACGACGACGAGGGAGGAGGGAGGACGACGACGGCGACAACGACGACAACGACGAGGGAGGATGGAGGACGGCGACAACGCGAACGACGAAGAAGGAGGGAGGACGGCGACGCAATCGATCGGGCATCGTGTCTTGCCAGTCGGGAACCGCATCTGGTCTGGGATTGCATCTTGCTGCGACCGAAACGCGCGCTTGGAGCGCGCGCGGTTGTCATATACAATGTTACGCACGTGTTGGTCTTAACACTTGCACGTATGATGGGAATCGTCTTCGGTCCCTCTCTCTCTTGCTCTTTGTCTCTCCTGCAGTGTATGGATGAATACATCCATGTGCCGCTGTCCATGTACCCCCTCATCCTCCTCTCTGACCCCGTGTGGACAATTTCTTTCTGCATATGTTTGTTTGTTGTCAGTCTCTCTCTCTCTCTCTGTGCTTTTTTTTTTTCTCTCTCTCTCTCTCTCTCTCTCTTTCTCTCTCTTACCCTTGTACCCCTCTCCAGCCAAGGATTCCCAGGAATGCTATCACACGTGCCTCTCTGTCCCTATGTCTTGTTTTGTCGCTCAGCGGGAGGTGGCCAACTTTGCGGTTGACTTGGGCAGACCGAGTTGCATAGCCACGCCATGGGGTCATCGTTTGTCGCTGTCGAGATTATCTTGGCAGCGGCATACACAGGCTCTCCGATTTGCCGAGACGCTTGTTTTGAAGGGGAGCGCGTGGGATGATGAGTGTGAGGAAGGGAAAGTGAAAGAGAGTGAACGGTTAGGGAATGATGGGAGGGTCATGGAGGAGAAGCAGAGACAGTTTGAACAGGAGGAGGATGAGAAGCGCTCACGTCTTGTGAGCGCTGCTTTGTTCGATCTTGTCTGGCTCGTGAACCATGCATCCACGGTCTATGTTGGACAGATTTGGGACACTTACCCCCCGGCCTTGAGCATCGTCCTCTGGTATGATTACTCTAGCAGATACTCTCCGTCAATTTCCGACCGTCGCTGCGCAATCATTCACTTTCAAATTCTGACCCTGTCGAATCGGTGTTGAAGTTTCAAAATCATTCTCTTGCACAGTTGTGTTCTAGGGCTCGGACTTCTTTATTTAATCGCTTCGCTCATTCCGCCGGCCCGTACTGTGCCCTCGCTGGCTTATGGGCTTTTGGGGGCCTTCTGGGGTTCTCGTTGGGGGTTGCTTGGGGGCCTCTTGGGTTTCTGTTGGAGACTCTTGGGTTTCTCGGAGCTCCTTTGGGAGCATTTGGGAGCATCTTGGGGCTTCTGGGCCCCGCTTAGGGCCGCCGTCGGTTTCTGAGGGCGATCTTGGGGGCGTCTTGGGCCGTCTTGGGGCGTCGCGATGCCGAAAAGGTGGAGACGCCAAAATCTCCCCAAAACCTAAGGAAAAACAATGAGGGCTCCTCCGGGGGTACTCTTCTTCCGGGGACCCCCAGGGGCCGCCCCGCGCGCGCTAAGTAGAATAATTGTAAAGCAGTTGCCGGAGATCTCAGCACGCCTCTGGCCCGTTGGACCGGCGAATCTTCGTTCGTGGCTCGTTCGTGCTTCGTCGTCGTCCCGCTGGCTCTGGCCCCCCTCCGCTGGGCCCCTCGCCCGAACGCAGGCCAACACGCACACACGCACACGCACACGCACACGCACACACACATACACACATACACACACATACGCACACGCACACGCACACACACGCACATACACACACACACACACGCCCACACGCCCACACGCACACACACACACACGAACCCACACACCCACACACTCACACACCCACATGCACACTCGCACAACACCCACACGCACACGCACACGCACACGCACACACGCACACCCACACGCACACGCACACGCACACGCACACGCACACGCACACGCACACGCACACGCACACGCACCACGCACCACGCACCACGCACCACGCACCACGCACACCACCACCACCACCACACACACACCCACACACACACACACCACACGCTTCGTGGCCCCATACGGAGCTCCACGGGAGTACTCGGGTCCATGCTGGCACGCCCCTCACACGTGTCGTGGCCTCATGCATACAGAAGGGTTGGGTTCTTCGCCAGGGTAACTGCGATCCGGGGACCCCCCAGAGATCTGGACAGCTTCCTGAGGGCTGGCGCTTCGTGCTGAGGTGTTCCTTCACGGTCCAGGGGCCCGCTCGAGGGCCCCCTTTGAAGCAGGACCTGGCCGAACACCGACCGCTCCCGTGTGCTGCTGGAATGTTCGGGCCAGGAGGAGGAGGAGGAGGAGGAGGAGGAGGAGGAGGAGGAGGAGGAGGAGGAGGAGGAGGAGGAGGAGGAGGAGGAGGAGGAGGAGGAGGAGAGGAGGGAGGAGGAGGAGGAGGAGGAGGAGGAGGAGGAGGAGGAGGAGGGGGAGGAGGGGAAGGAGGAGGAGGAGGAGGAGGAGGAGGAGGAGGAGGGAGGAGGAGGAGGAGGAGGAGGAGGGAGGAGGAGGAGAAGGAGGAGGAGGAGGAGGAGGAGGAGGAGGGAACCGAGCAGATCACGCGACCTCCGTCCGCTTCGGGGGCCCCGCCGCGTCGGGGGCGCGCCCGCCGGCCACTCCCCCTCCGAGCGGGGCCGGGGCGAGGACGGAGCCGTCCCGGAGCGGTCGGGGCCGCGCTCGGAGCGGTCGGGTCCGCTCGGAGGAGGCCGCGGCGCCCGGGACAGCCTCCTCCTCCTCCTTCTCCTCCTCCCCTTCCTCCCCTCCTCCTCCTCCTCCTCCTCCTCTCCTCCTCTTCTCCTCCTCCCCTTCCTCCTCCTCCTCCTTCTCCTCCTCTCCTCCCCTTCCTCCTCCTCCTTCTCCTCCTCCTCCTCCTCTTCCTCCTCCTCTTCCTCCTCATCTTCCTCCTCCTCCTCCTCCTCCTCTTCCTCCTCCGCCTCCTCCTCCAACTACACTCCGGAGCCGCGGGGTATCCCAGAGACCAGTCGGGGGTGGACAGACCTCGATTAGCGAATTGGCCGTTTCTGGTTCGCCAGAGGGCGTCGCGGCCGTCACTTTTTGCGGGTCCAGGTCCGTCGGCTTCCACCGCAGACCTCGATTCGCTCTCAGCCCATCCTGTCCTTGCCTCAGGGGCGGCCTGGCCGACCCCCAGCAGCCCATCCCCTCCCGTGACGTCCCCCCTCCGCCTCGCCCCCGGAGAAGTGTGCATGCGGCCGAGGGAGGAGCCGAGAAGGCGAGGGTGACGGCCAGGAAGGGGACGGTTTGCCAGGGGTCGGTTAACTCGGGCGGGTGGTAATGGGAGGGGGCCCAGCTGGGGGTGAAGAAAAGGGCCCCAAAGGGTGCCCTTCAGGGCCCCTTCTGGAGCCAGCTGGTGCCCCCCCCAAAAAGCCCTCACGGGCTCCTTTTGGGCCCTTGTCTTCACCCCCGATGTGGGTCACCCCCCACTCCTGGCTGCCCTGAGACGCCCGATGCGAAACGCAACACGTCCTTGTGAAGACGCTGCGAGTTGGCTCTGCGCATTGGCCCACGTCTTGGCGAGCGTGTCTCGTCAGACCTGCGTGTTCCGTCTGCGTGCTGAGCTCCGTGCCCGTACGCTACGTGTCGCGTGCTGCGTGCCGGGGCAGCTGCGCCTCCATCACCCCCCGCCCGAGTGAGGCCTCGCCCGACTGTCCTGGCTTCGTCCTGCGCCTGCCACGCGCCCCCTCCCGAGGCTGCGCGTGCGGCGGCTCCCGTCGAGGAGCCCACCGTGGAGGACCGCGGCGCCCCCCTCCCCGCCACATGGGGGGCCGCGCCCTCGACGGCCACGACGACGACGACAACGACGGCGACGACTGCGACGACGAGGACGAAGATGGCGACGACGAGGGCGACGACGAGGACGACGACGACGACGACGACGGCGACGACGACGACGGGGACGAGGATGGCGACGGCGAGGGCGACGACGAGGACGACGACGACGACGACGACGGGGACGAGGATGGCGACGACGAGGGCAACGACGAGGGCGACGAGGGCGACGACGACCACGACGACGACGGGGACGAGGATGGCGACGACGAGGGCGACGACGAGGACGACGACGACAACGACGGGGACGAGGATGGCGACGACGAGCGCGACGACGAGGGCGACGAGGACGACGACGAGGGCGAGGGCGACGACGACGACGAGGACCAGGATGGCGACAACGAGGGCGACCACGATGGCGACGAGGGCGACGTGGGCGACGACGAGGGCCACACCGACACCTCCACCCCTGCCTCGTTCTCGCCTTTCTGGGCCTCCTGGGGGGCCCGTCCTCGCCACCGCTGGGGTCGCCTCGACGTCTTGGCGCCAGGGCGCGCCCCAGGAGGGGTCCGGGGCTCAGCGGCATCGGTGCCTTGTGTTCCCCCCAATGCCCCTAGGGGCTTCACGACTTTTCGCCATCCGACTTGTGAGGATCGAGCCTGATAACTCAAGGGTAAATGCAGGCAAGTCGGGGTGCATCAGGGTAGGTCGTGGTACGTCCAGGTGGATCAAGAGATCTCTGGGGAAGGTTGGAGCAACTCGTGGCCGCTCCAGCGCGAGTCGAAGGACGGCAGAAGTCGTTAAACCCTTAACGACAAAGACCACCACCTGCAGGATCGATCTTCGGGTCCGCATCTCGAGTGCCTGAGAGGACAGAGTGCCCCTCGAGAGTGTTGTTTCTACCTGGGCCATAACGCGCGTTTGCCCCCTACTCCCCCCCTTAACGTAACGCTCCTCCCCTCATTGTGCCCCTGGCACTGCTCCGTAGCCATTTTGGCTCAAGCCTTGCGGGCTCAAGCCAGTGTGGGCCAAGCAGTTCTGGCTGGAGTTACCGGGCCCATGCTGCAGCCAGCAATTGTTTTATTGACGCTCAGCGGCTCCTGCAGGTAAGAGTACATATCCCTACCATGATGAGTCATGCCCCCACGCTGAGTACATCTCGCTTTTGACATTGGATGACTGGCATGATGTTGACCCGAGTGCCAAAGCAGCAGGCCCAGTACACGGCAGGATGTTGGGCGTCAGACCCATATTGGCGAGGTGGTTTCGTCGACGGGGATGGTTCTATATTTGTGTCGAAATGTCGAAATACATTGAGGCCAGGATTATCGATTGGGCTATCCCTGACAACAGAAGGCCTTCTAGCTACAGGCGAATTCCATTCCTTGTACGGCGGCAGCAAGTCAATTTCGTTTTCGCAAACACGCATCAATCCAAAGAACCGGCCAGTGTGCCGGTGGGATCTAACAGGACCCGCAGTATTTTCTGCCCTTGATGCTTTAGACGGCGCGCTTGTGCTGAAGAAGGAGCAGGCACGCTTGCTGATTACACATCGGCACTTGTTCCAGGGAGCTCCCGGCAAACGTATCGCAGACTATATCCAGCAGGAAAGACACAATCTGAAATCGAAATTGGAACACGTTCGGGCAAAAGCGCAGATGAACACACCTCATGAGTACAGCATACATCTAGTGTTTGGTAAACGATTGTATGAGAAGCAGTGTGCGTACATAGCTGGTTTTTGTGATGCTGATGCATATTTCGGGTGTGTGCCGTCTGGCAGAAAGTTCAGGTTTGCGGCTTCCATTGCTCAAAAGAACCATGCCTTTCTACAAGCAGTCAAGGATACAATTCTTGATGGCAAAGGTTCGAATGTGAGAATGCGGAGTGATGGTGTAAGTTGTTTACATGTTGCTGTGCCTAGCGACGTTCAAGAGTTCTGTAACCGAATACGGCCATACTCGATCATGAAGGCGAAACAGCTTGATGTAATCATGTCTGAACCCCGCAGTGCCAGAGCTAGAGATGTTTTGGTGTCGATGCACGGGAACCAAGGCAACAAAAGAACATACATCAGACAGGAGGCGAACAATATTTGCAACGATCTTGATTTCAGATTTGAGCGCCACGACATGGAATCCTTCGCGATGTAGAAACCGACTCACGCCCGATGCGCATATTTGACCTTTGCGTCCAGCGTTATGCTGGAACGCATCGCACCCACATTTCATTTGTATCACCGATTGAGAGGAAACGGTTGATGCTTAGTTCCATGGCGAATCACACTGGACCTATAAGTTGCATGGCCCTCTTTGACAAGGTCGGCGCCAGGCGGATGATTCAGCCCTACAGAGTCGCATACCTCGAGCGCAGCAGCATTTGAACGACAGTGGCTGGTCCGCGCTGGCGAAAAAAACATTGTGCCCCTGGCACTGCCGCAGTGCCTCCGTCACCAAAGTCAAGGGGGGCCGCTACTTTATGCCCCTTCCGTCGGGGTCCTTCGTATGCGCTGGTGCGGACGGGCGAAGGTCCCTTGTCCGGGGCGCACAGCCGCATAGCCCCGCCGAAGAACCTGCCGGTCCGCATCTGGGACAGCCAAGCAGTGGCGAAACGTCCTGGCTTGCGTGCAGGCCCACCAAGGTCTGTTGTGAGAACCTGTTGTGGTCTGCACGAGATGTTTTCAGAACGCTGCGTGCGAACCACAGCAGGTGCGTCCCTCGTGCGCCGCCGGCGGGAGTCTTCGCCTGCGCTGGTGAGCGCACCCCGCAGATCTCGGCTTTCCGCCGGGGTGGCGGCGGCGGCAGGCCGTCGCTGCGCGCACTACGCTCGCGCTGGAAGGTTTCTCCGAAGGGCTTAGGCGACCCGTCCTCCTCCTCCTCTTCCTCCTCCTCATCCTCCTCCTCCTCCTCCTCTGCCCCCGTCGGTGGCCTACCTCTGCATGAGCACGAAGCTGATCGCGATGACCTTCAGCCCGCTGGTGGTCAACCGCAGCTGCACGAAGACGAATCCGATTCCGCTGCCAGTGGTGGCGTTCGAGTGCATGATGCCGATTCTGGAGCTGCCGCTGGTGGCGTATGTCCCCTTCCCGAAGAAGCTCCTGATGCACGACCCCTGCACGATGATGCCCATGCCGCTGCTGCCGCTGGTGGCGCTCTGGCACGTTGCACGCCCACGACCGCCCGCGATGTCCCTCAGCCTGATGGTGGTCAACGTCGGCTGCACGATGTCGAATCCGTGGACGCTGCCCCTGGTAGCGAACGAGTGCACGACGCCGAACCTCTGCATGATGATGCGCGTGGCAGCCTCTTTCCGCACTGCTTTGACGCGAGCGCGCTGGAGATGAGTCCCCTTTCTGAGGCCCCTCGCGATAGCGGGCCCGTCGGTGTGACAAGCCCAGCGCCTCCTGTCCTGCTCACCCCAACCCGCTCTTCCTCGCTTCGCTCTTCTTCTGCCCTTCCCTCCTCCTCTGTGCATCTTCCACCCATCCCAGTGTTTCCCACGTTCCCGAATGACTTCCGCTCCCCGTGTATGGCCCCATCCATGCTGGCGGCCAGAGCGTCGAGCGTACAGATCGCATCCTGAGGTAGACGTAGCGGCGAGAGACTGACGTGGGATCACTTGCCCTCTTCTCGCGTCTTGTCCGCTTGCCCTCGTCCCTTCCTCTTTGAGTACTTGCAATCCTCCTCCTCCTCCTCCTCCTTCTCCTCCTCCTCCTCCTCCTCCTCCTCCTCCTCCTTCTCCCGGAGCCGTAGGTGACCCGAGGAGGAGGAGGCGGAGGAGGAGGCGGAGGAGGTGGAGCTGGAGGAGGGGGAGGATGAGGAGGAGATGGAGGAGGAGGAGGAGGAGGAGGAGGAGGAGGAGGAGGACGAGGAGGAGAACGAGGAGGACGAGGAGGAGGAGGACGAGGAGGAGGAGGAGGAGGAGGAGGAGGGAGAGGAGGAGGAAAAGGAAAAGGAGAACGAGGATGTGGAGGAGGAGGAGGTGGAGGAGGAGGAGGAGGAACTCAGACTCAATAGGATTTTTTGAAGGTTGGACATGTTGCCGCGCCGTCTGTTCCGACGCGCGGACTTCGGTCTTGAGGAGGTCGCCGCTGCCACCAGGGCAAACGCCGACCCAGGCGCAGGGCTTGCCGTGGGGTTTGCCGTGGTGCCGGCTTCGTCTGCTGGGGGCGCGGGGCGCAAAGGGCTTGCAGCGAGTTTGCCGTGGTGTCGGCGTCCATTTGGGCGCGTCGAGAAACAGCGCGGCGACTATAACGGGGCCGGTCTGCGCGAGAGGATACACACTTGGCCGGATGTTTTTCTTCTCTCGGCACTTCTATGGTAAGGCACAGCAGCCCCCCGCATGTTCATTCAGCGCACGGCCTCCACATGTTCCAGATAGGAATCAATCCATGTGTGCTTACAGCCTTCTGGTAGGCGTAGTGCCAGGAGAAGGAGGAGGAGGAGGAGGAGGAGCAATGTGATCCAAGGCCATTTCGGCTTGAGACCAGTTCGAGCTCAAGGCCATGTTTGGCTCTACCAGCCGCGGTGCCGTGTCTTTCTGGATGCATGTTTCAGATGCTGGATATCGGTCGAGGGTCTCGGGAAGGCGATATTTCCCTAGAAGCGTCGATCAAGAGCTGCGGTCGGACAAAAGAGTGGAGCACAGCACTGCGGTTGCTCCGCGAAGGAATCCGATTAAGAGTGCAACTCGCCCCCAGCCACTACATTGCGACTGCCAGCGCATGCAGAAGAGGCGGGCAATGGCAACACGCGCTGTCAGTGCTCGCTGAGATGCGGGAGGCGAAGCTGCAGTCCAACGTCATCTCTCCTATAATGCAGCGTTCACCGCTCGCCAAAGCGTCGAGCCGTGGCAGCGGACTGGCCCCCTCCGGCGGCCATCGGCGCGGCCCCGAGGCCCCAGCGCGCTTCCAAGATGGCTCAAGAGCGCTCCGACCCGCCCCCAGAGCCCCCCAAGGGGGCCCGAAGACGGTCCAAGAGGGCCTCCGAGACGGGCCCCGAGCGCTCGAAGACGCCCAAGGCAGCCGCCCGACGGCCCAAAAGGCCACCCAAATGCTCCAAGTGGGCTCCAGAGAGAGCCCCAGGAGAGCCCGAACATGGAAAATTCGTCCCAACGATTGCGCCAGGACGGCTCCCCAGGCGCCCATGGCGGCCCCAAGAGAGGGGGCCAGGACAGGGTGGGAGCGCTCCCGAGGGGCCCCAAGAGGGGGCCAGGAGGGCCCCAAGAGGGCCCCGACAAGGCCCCATGACGCATGTACTTGGGTGCCCCTCTCGCAAGCCCAGGAAGCATATCAAGTACATGCGGTATGGGGCCCTCTTGGGGTCCCCTGAGGGCGCTCTTGCGGCCCTCTTGAGGCCTCCGGGCCCCTCCAAGACAGGGCCCGGTGCATTCTGCCACAGAAATGGCAGAATGGTGAGCCTGCGCCCGGCGGCGTCCTGGTTCGGCAACCCCCGTCGACAGTGGCAGCAAGCACGGGTACGCTTTAGTCAGCTACAGCGCTGGGATCAGCGCGTGCGTGACGGGCGAGCAGTGGCAGCGGGCGCTGGCGTTGCTGAGCGACATGTGGGAGGCGAAGCTGGAGCCCGACGTCATCCGTATTCGAAATCTGGGCGCAGCGTGTGCGAAGGGGGCGAGCAGGGCGAGATCCCCGCGCGCCTATAGGCGTTTCACGATGGCCCCAGGGCAGTTCTGATGCTCTCAAGAGGGCGACAGGACGGCCCAAGGGGACCCAAAGCAAGTCCGCTGCGGCCCAAGAGGTCCCGAAGACCGGACAGGAAACTCCACAGGCGGCCCAAGAGGACCCCGATTACAGCCCCAGGAAGCCAAACATCTAGCAATAGCCTACCCTTGTTTATTTGTTTCACGGTCTTGTCATTTCGGGCCCCGAACGGCCCCACACGGCTCCAGATCCTTCCGAGGTCGCCCCAAGACGGCCCAAGAGGCCCCGCCGACGGTACCAAGACGGCCCAAGAGGGCACGAAGACGGTCCAAGGTCCCAGAGAGGCCCCAGACGGCTGATCAGAGCTTCCAGTGGCTCCCAAAACAGCCCAAAGAGGGCCCCAGGAGCTGCCCAAGATGTGCCCAAGATGGCCAGAGCGGACTCCAAGACAGCCCGAGGCTCCCAACATGGTACCGAAACGGCCCAACAGGCCCCCGAGACTCGCCAAAAGATTTCCAAAATGGCCCAGTAAGGCTCCAAGAGGTGTTCAAGAAGGACCAATCCAAGGTGCTCTAGAACCTCCCAGCAGGTTCCGACAATTGTCAAGGAGCTCCCAAGATAGCCTCCAGCCCCAGCACCCCTAGCGTCCCTCGCCTTTGCCAGATGCCCCTTGTGCGCTGCATCCTGGGGAGGGCACCCTTGGTTGCTTTGTTTGCTCCGGCTGACGGGAGGTCCCACGCTCTTGAAGGATGCTCCCTTGGCCCAGGTCCGACTCCAGAGCCCCTCGTGGCCATCCACAGATGGCCAGGCCCCCGCGGTTGCGGGGCAGGCGCGGCCCCGGACGGCTTCGTGGCCCCTGCTTGAGGCCTTGGTCCCCCCAGGAGCTTGGCATCGCTCGGACGTGTGCATTTTTCTTTCGGCGAGGACCATCGAGGAGCGTCCTGGATCATTTGGCGAAAAATCCACGCACGAAACCGGAAGAAAACACAGGGAATGGACGTCCGAGCGATGGCCAGCCTTGGTCGCCCCGGGACGGGCCCAGAGCCCCCGAAGATGGCCCCAAGACGGCCTCGTGCTGATGGCCGGCGGCCGCTGAGTGCAGATATTTCTGCCCCGTCTGCCTCCAGCGCCTGCCCACGACACGAGTCGATCTGCTTCTGCTGTGGTCGGTCGTTCCCTGGGAGTGCCTGCGCAGCACGTATTTGACCCGATGTTCGACTCCATGCTTTTGTATCTAGTTCCTGCGACCGAGGTGTAGCCTTGCGGCAGCACCGTCGCCGCTCCCCTGAGAAACATGTCAGAACGATTAATTACGTGGACAGAGTCCTCGGTTCAGCCACCGTCAGCTACAGCGCTGGGGTCAGCGCGTGCGAGAAGGGCGAGCAGTGGCAGCGGGCTCTGGCGCTGCTGAGAGAGATGTGGGAGGCGAAGCTGGAGCCCGACGTCATCTGTGTTGGAATTCTGGTCGTTGCGCGTGCGAAAAGGGGCGAGCACTTCGCGGGCTGCTCCCGAGCGCCCGAAGCGCCCCAGCGCTCCCCGACGGCTCCAGAGAGCCCCTGGCTGGCCCCAAGGCCCAAGACAGCCTCTGGCAACCCCGAGGCAGCTCTGAGACGCTTCGGAGCGCGAGAGGTCGGCCCAGGAGAACCCGAACGGAGCCCCATGACAGCCCAAGACGGCTCGACGACGGGCCAGGTGTTTCCCAAAACGTTCGAACTGGACTGCGATGACGGCCCCCCGAGGCCAAAATCATAGATCTTCTTGTGGGTTTCCAAAGGATCCATGTTCTCGCCACTTCGGGCCAAGAACGGCCCCAGACGGCTCCGGGGCCATCCCAGACCGCTCCAAGACGGTCCAGGAGGCCCCGCCAAGTGCCCCAAGACGGCCCCAGAGGGCCCGAGGACTGCCCGAGAACAGCCCGACATTGGCTCAGTGAACCCCCTAGGGGCCTCCAAGGCAGTCCCACGAGGGCCCGAGGAGCTGCCCACAAGGCACCACAGCGCGCTCCAAGACGGCCCGAGACCTCCAACATGGCCCCATGACGGCCCAAGAGGCCCCCGAGACGGCCCAAAAAGCCTCAACATGGGCCCAGAGGGCCCGAAGTTTGCCCAAGAAGAGGCCCAAGACAGCCTCATAGAGCAGCTGGTGGCCTCCCACATAGCCCCAAGAGGGCACCAGGAGCTGCCCAACGGGTGGCCAAGAGCCTTCCCACGACCGCCGCTTCCCAGGACCACTCCGATACCCCAGAGTCTCCCAAGAGTCCCCGACACTTGCCAAGCAGCTTCAAGCAGAGCGCCATCGGCCACGTCACCCTTTCGTCGTCTCTGGGGCCCCGGAATCCCAAGAGAAAGCCGCAGACCCCGAACGAAGCCCGGGACCACTCCGAGGCGCCCCAGACCTTCCCAAGGTATTCCGATCGTTCCGATGTAGCTCCCAAGAGAGCTTTCCGCCATCGTGCCTCCCCGGCATCCTTCAGCAGAGCCTCTTACCCATGACAAGGCCCCGAGCCTCCTCTCTCCGTGCAGATCTCTTCTCTCACTCATCTTCCTTTCTTCTGCTCCTCCTCCTCGTCCTCCTCATTGACTCCCCTTTCTCCAAGCTCCAACCATTCTGGGGTCCCCGCACATTCGATTCGGAGTGGCAAAGGGGACATGTCGACACCTCGGAGCCCCCTCAGCAGCACCCGCACCCTTTGCTGTCTCCGAAGGCCTTCAAAAGAATCCGAAGACCGCCCTTGCTCCAGAGCTATACTCCCTTCCTCCTCGGCCTCCTGCTCGCTCTCATGCGCCTCACTCCGTCCTCCTCTGCCCCCTTCACACCCCAGCACGTGCTGGCCACCCGACCCAGCGATTAGGGGCAACATAGAGAACCTTCGTCTCTCTTCTCTACTCTGGCTTCCTCGTCTGCGAGCTAGCACCTCCCTCTCTCTGGATCGCCCTCTTCCTCCTGCACCCCCCTTCCGATTAGGGTGACAACGAGGATCTTGTCCTATTCTCTTCTCTGCCTCGGCTTCCTCCTCTGGGAGCCTGCACTCCCTCCATCTCCAGTGCCGCTCTCCTCCTCCTCCTCCTGCTGCTCCTCCTCCTCCTCCTCCTCCTGCTCCTCCTCCTCCTCCTCCTCCTGCTCCTCCTCCTCCGCCTCCTACTGCAAGAGGCTGCAGCGAGATTGGACTGCGGGAAGCCTTCGATGCTCCAAGAACTCTCCAGTGACCACCCCGAGATAGCCCAGACCATACCAAGATGCTCGAAGGCAGCCTCCAGCCCCGGAGCCCGGAGCCTGCAGCAAACCCCGGAGCAAACCCGCAGGCGTTGGCGACACATGCGCACTCGGAACCACCTTGACCTGGCAGCCTCGGAATTTCCACGGTTCACACCAGTCAGCTACAACGCGGGGATAAGCGCATGCGAGAAGGGCGAGCAGTGGCAGCGGTCTTTGGCGCTGCTGAGCGAGATGTTGAAGGCGAAGCTCAACCCCGACGGTATCGTATCTAATTGCCTTCGGCCCATCCCTCCACCGTGCGTGGATGGTGGGTATGAAGCCTATTGGATGTTCGCTCGGATCTCGTGGGAGGCCTCTCGGGGGTGTCTGCGAGGAAGTTTGGAGGCCTCTTTGGGGCCGTTTTGGGGCCTCTTGGGGTATCTTTTGGGCCTCTTGAGGGCATCTTCGGGCCTCTTGGGGGCCTTTCCAAATTTTGGAATTTGGGATCCGGGCCCCTCAAAAACTCTTCAGGACTGAGGACTGAGGCCCCTGGAAGTAGGCAAGGACACGCCGCGGTACTCGCCCACTCCGTGCCCAGAGGCACGGTGGCGGATTTGCAACGAGGCGTTGCGAGTGCCAGCAGGATGCATTGGCCCTCCCACCTCCGCGGCGCCTCCGTGGCTCCTGGGGCGCCGACGTCCTGAGGCTTGCAGACGGCCTCCGGGACACCCCCCAGAGGCTGCCGGAAAGCCTCTCGCAACTCCAGCTGATGGGAGCAGACCGCACACCTTGGGCTTCCGGAAGGCCTCCAGCAGCTTCTTCCAGACGGCTTCGATAGAGGCTCTTGGGAAGCACCAGGTGGTGGGGCACAAACCACACCCCACATCCCTTTGGACACGTCTCGCGCGGGAGGGGGCGCAGAAAATAGCTATCCAATCCAGCCGCAGACACCTGGGCACGCTGTTCCTGCGACCCCTCCCGCGCCGAGCGTGTCCCAGGAGGTGTTGGGTGTGCTTGTGGTATGGTTATCTTGGGCCTTCTCCTTCTCCTCGTCGTCGCTCTCCTCCGCCACAGGCGCTCCTGTTGTTGCTGCTGCCGCTGCTACTGGAGCCGCACTGCTGCTGTTGCTTCTGCAGCTGCTGCTGTTGCCACTTCCCATGCCCCGTGGATCTGCTGCCGCTGATACTGCTAGCGCTGCTCTGAGCGCCGTAAGAATCGTGAAGCAAACAGCGCACCCTGAAGCAATCAGCAGCAGCAAGCGCACTCGGACCTTTGGCACTCGTGCACGGTAGTCTACAGGTCAGCCCGAGTCAGCTACAATGCTGGGATCAGCGCGTGCGAGAAGGGCGAGCAGTGGCAGCGGGCTTTGGCGCTGCTGAGCGAGATGCGGGAGGTGAATCTGCAGCCCAACGTCATCTGTACTACAATTCTGGTCGTTGCGCGTGCGAGAGGGGCGAAAATGTCGCGAGCTGCCCCCGAGCGCCCGAAGCGCTTCGGCGCTCTCCGATCCAGAGCGCGCGAGGACGGCCCAAGAGGACAGCCCAAGACGGCCCGACGACGGGCCAGGTGCCTCCGAAAACGGACGAACCAGACCCCGCTGACGGTCCCCCGAGGCCAAAGTCTTTTCTGGGTTTTCAGATGTTTTCGATGTTCTCGTCATTTCGGGCCAAGAACGGCCCCAGACGGCTCCTGGGCCATCCCAGATCGCACCAAGACGGTCCAGGAAGCCCCGCCAAGTGCCCCAAGACTGCCCCAGAGGGCCCGAAGACTGCCAGAGAGAAGCCCAAAACAGCCTCATAGATAGAACCCCCCGGAGCCCTAAAGACAAGTGAGCTTCCCATAAGGCACCATAGCACGCTCCAAGACGGCCCGGGACCTCCTACATGGCCCCTTGACGGCCCAAAAGGCCCTCGAGACGGCCCAAGAAGCCCCACAATTGGCCCAGAGGACCCCAAGAGGCTCCAGAGAGACCTCCAGGAGGGGCCGACGCGAGCCCAGACGACGCCCTTCCCGCAGCCCCCAATGGGCGAACAGCCCTGCAAGGACCACTTCCACGTGCCCCAGAGTCTCCCAAGAGACCCCGATAGTTCTGGAGGAGTTCCCAAGGAGAGTGCATCCAGCCACGGCACCCTGTCGCCGCCTCTCGAACCCCAAACGCCCCCAAGAGCACCCCAGACCCCCAAGGTAGGCCCCAGACCACTCCGAGATGCCCCACAGCCTCCCAAGAGATTTCGATAGTTCCCATGGAGCTCCCAAGAGCGGTCTCAGGACCACTCCGAGATGCCCCAGAGACGCCCACAGGATTCCGAGGTCTGCCAAGAGACTCCGACAGTTCCCACGGAGCTCGCAAGAGCGGTCGCAGGAAGAGATTCTCATAGTTCCCACAGGGTTCTCAAGAAGGATCCCAGGGCCACTCCGAAATGGCCCAGAGTCGCCCTCAAGACTTCCCCCCCGTACGGCCGATCAGGGGTGACATGGGGGACCTCCTCTGATCTCTTCATCTTTCCCTCCTCGAGGCTCCGGCCGCTCGGGGGCCTCCACTCCGCCTTTTAGGGATGACAGGGGGGACCTGCAGCCACTTCGATCGCTCCCTATCTACGGCCGATGTGGGATAACGGGGGGAGGGGACCTGGAGACACTGCTATACCAGAACCACTCCGAGATGGACCAGAGTCGCCCTCAAGACCTCCCACCTACGGCCGATCAGGGGTGAGAGGGGGCACCTTTTCCTCTGATCTATTCCTCCTTACCTCATCGAACCTCTGGCCGCTCTGAGGCCTCCACTCCGCCTCTTAGGGGTGACAGGGGGGACCTCCAGCCACTTCGGTCGCCCCCCTCTACGGCCGATTAGGGGTGACAGGGGGGCGGGGGTGCCTGCAGACACTGCGGGGACCAGCATATCGCTCCCCCCAACAGCCGATTAGGGGTGACAGGGGGGACCTGCAGCCACCTCGGTGGCCCTCAAGACAGTCCCTCGACCACGAGATCCCTCCCTGGACCACTTCGAAATGACGCAGACCCCTCCAGGACATTCGAGGACAGCCTTCCGTCCCAGCACCTCTGGAAGCTTCTTCTGGTTTCCTAGAAGCCCCGAAGGAAGCCCCAAAACCGAAGGAAGGCCCCAGACCACTCTCAGAAGCCCCAGAGCCTCCCAAGGGCTTCACTCTTGCTGCTGGCGTCAAACTGCCTGCCGTGGACTTAATCCACGGGGGCACACTCGTCAGCTACAGCGCTGGGATCAGCGCGTGCGAAAAGGGCGGGCAGTGGCAGCGGGCGTCGTTGCTGCTGGGCGAGATGTGGGAGGTGAAGCTGCAGCCCAACGTCATCTGTACTACGTGGCGGGGGGAAGCGCGTGCGGGGCCTCCTCCTCCTCCTCCTCCTCCTCCTCCTCCTCCTCCTCCTCCTCCTCCTCCTCCTCCTCCTCCTCCTCCTCCTCCTCCCTCACATGTCCCAAATCGGCCTCGGCGGGCCCGTGGCGCGGCCTCGGTGGGCCCCTGGCGCTCCTGGCGCGGCCCGGCGCGCCTCCCGGCGGTTCGAGGACGCTTCGGGACGCCCTCAGGGAGCGCCCAGACAGCCCAAGGGCCCCAGCAAGGCCCCAGGACGGCCCCAGACGGCTCGCGGCGGTCCAAACGCAACCGATTTGTCAGTGGTCTTTGCCTGATTTTCAGTGTCTCGCGATTTCGGGCCAAGACCAGCTCCAGACGGCTCTTGGGGCCCCCTTCGGAGGAACCCAAGACGGCCCAAGCGAGCCCCAACACGGGCCGAAAGAGCCCCCAGGAGCCCCTAAACGAACGGGCCCCAAGAGCCGTCCAAGAAGGCTCACGGAGAGCTCCGAGAAAGCCCCACAACCCCAACATGGCCCCAAGGCGGCCCCAGAGGCCGTCCAGACAGCTCGCGGCGGCCAAACATCATGTGTTTTCGATGGTTTTTGCCTGATGTTCAGGTTCTCGCGATTTCGAGCCAAGTCTGGCCCAAGACGTCTCCGAACGCTCCAAGGCCGTCTAAGAGGATCCGGCAAGAGTCCCAAGACGGCTCAGAAGTGCTCCAAGACGACTCCTGAAGGAGCCCGAAACGGCCCAAGAAAGACCCAAGACTGCGCTAGAGAGCCCCCAGAAGCCCTCAGACGGGCCCCAAGAGCCACCCAAGAAGCTCACAGAGAGCTCCGAGACGGTCAAACTTTCAATATGGCCCCTAGACGGACGGCCCCAGAGGCCGTCCAGACAGGCCGCGGCAAACGAAATCATTAAGTTCTTGCTTATTGAAAAATTTCCTCATTCTCGCCATTTCGAACCAAGACCTGCCTGAGACGGCTGCTGGGGCTCCCTCGAACGCTCCAAGGCCGCCCAAGAGGATCTGGAAAAGGCCCCCAAACCACCCAGGAGGGCTCCAAGATGGCCCAGGAGGCGCCCAAGATGGCCCACGAGCCGCCCAAGACGGCCCGACGACAGCCCGAGAGAAGCCCAAGACGACCCAAACGTGAGGTGCCCAAGACACCCTCAAGGCCCCATACGAGGCCCGGGGATACTTCCGAGCGGTCCCCACGAGAGCCCAATGAGGCCTCGAAGCTGCTCCCAGAGAGGTCGATCTGGGGGCCCTGCGTGCTTCTGCTCGGCGGGGCGTTGTCGTAGGACCCGCGGGTTCCCAACGAAGATCGAATGGATGCTGGCTTCAAGCCAGGACGAGGCTAGCTGGCCAGAGTCCACGGGCGAGTCCTGGAACTCGCAGGACGGCCCAAGACCTTCTTGCCGGGAGCCCCCCACTCCACGGGAACTCTGGCTGACTGAGCCTTCAGCGGGTGCCGCGGCGACAGCAGCCTCTCCGCTGGGCGTTCGTTGGTCGCCCTTCCTCCGCACCGCGCATAGGGGGGCCAGGAGGACGGGGGAAGGCTGGTTGAAAGGCAGGCTGCTTCTCGGCCGCCATCGAAGGCGTTCTGAAAGCCCGTTGGGGGTCATGTAGAAAGCAGCCTGCCTCCTACGAAGCCTTCCTTCCTTCCTTCCTTCCTTCCCCTGTGCCCGTTTATGCGCAGCCCACATGCCCGATGTCGCGACGTCGCGAACGAGCGAAAGAAAAGGACGCACACGCTGAACGCGGAATACGCTGGATGACGTGGAGAAAGTCCACGGGTTCGCCCTAGTCTCTACTACATTGCAGGGCCCAGTGCGTGCCAGAATGGCGCAGGCTCCAATGCACCAAAACCGCCCCGGGCTGGCTCCGGGCCGCCCCGGGCCGCCCAGGCAGGCTCGAGGACATGTCGGGAGGGCCCCCAGAAGCCCCCAAGACGGCCCCGGAGAGCCCTGGCACGCTTAAAGATGGGCCCAAGACGCCCGAGATTCGCCCCAGGCGGCCCAAGAGGCGTCCAAGACGCCCGAAGAGGCCTCCCAAGAGGCCTCCCAAGAGGGCCCCGAGCGACAGAAATCGTCGATTTCTATTGTGTTTTTCGGTGTTTTCGGCCTCCTCGCCTCTTCGGCTTTCCGACGCTCCAAGACGGCCCAAGAAGTCCCCCCGACCGCTCCAAGACGGCCGAAGAGGACCCCAAGAGAGCCCCAAGACGGGCCAGGAGGGCCCCCAGACGGTCCCAAGACGCCGCAGGACGGCCCCAGGACGGCCCAGGAGGCGCCCAAGACGGCCCAAGAGGCACCCAAGACGGCCCCAGGAGCGGCCCAAGACGGCCCAAGACAGCCCAAGAGCGCCCAAGACGCCCGAGATTCGCCCCAGGAGGCCCTCGAGGCGTCCAAGACGCCCGAAGAGGCCTCCCAAGAGGGCCCCGAGCGACAGAAATCGTTGATTTCTATTGTGTTTTTCAATGTTTTTGGCCTCCTCGCCTCGTCGGCTTTCCGACGCTCCAAGACGGCCCAAGACGCCCCCCCGACCGCTCCAAGACGGCCGAAGAGGATACCAAGAGAGCCCCAAGACGGGCCAGGAGGGCCCCCAGACGGTCCCAAGACGCCGCAGGACGGCCCCAGGACGGCCCAGGAGGCGCCCAAGACGGCCCAAGAGGCACCCAAGACGGCCCCAGGAGCGGCCCAAGACGGCCCAAGACAGCCCAAGAGCGCCCAAGACGTCCGAGATTCGCCCCAGGAGGCCCTCGAGGCGTCCAAGACGCCCGAAGAGGCCTCCCAAGAGGCCTCCCAAGAGGGCCCCGAGCGACAGAAATCGTCGATTTCTATTGTGTTTGTCAATGTTTTCGGCCTCCTCGCCTCGTCGGCTTCCCGACGCTCCAAGACGGCCCAAGACGCCCCCCCGACCGCTCCAAGACGGCCGAAGAGGACCCCAAGAGAGCCCCAAGACGGGCCAGGAGGGCCCCAAGACGGTCCCAAGACGCCGCAGGACGGCGTCCGGACGGCCCAGGAGGCGCCCAAGACGGCCCAAGAGGCACCCAAGACGGCCCCAGGAGCGGCCCAAGACGGCCCACGACAGCCGAAGAGGCGCCAAGGAGGGCCTCAGATGGCCCGAAGACGGCCCAAGAGGCACCCAAGACGGCCCGAGAGAGCCCTAAGAGCCCCCCCGCGAGGCCCAAACGAAGGCCGAAGAGGCTCCGAAACGGCCCCTACGAAGCCTTCAGTGCCTTCAGAATTCCTTCCAGGAGCGGGGGAGCGGACGAGAGGCGACCGGCATATCGAAGGCACAAAAGAACAATGTTGGACGCTCCGAGGGCCTTCGATGTTTCTCTGTTGGGGAGAGTCGTCGTAGGATCGACGATTGCCGACCGAGGGCATGGAGAATCCAGCGAAAGAGGAGAAGAAGGTGGAAAAGGAGGAGGAGGAGGAGGAGGAGGAGCAGGAGGAGGAGGAGGAGGAGCCCGACGCCATCATGATTGCCTTTCGGCCCTGCAGCCGCACCCCCCCGCGCTTGCCCAGAGACCCCTCGCCACGTCGAGCTGATGTCGTGGACGGAGTCCACAGGTCTGCCCTAGTCAGCTACAGCGCTGGGATCAGCGCGTGCGAGAAGGGCGAGCAGTGGCAGCCAGCGCTTGCGCTGTTGAGCGAGATGTGGGAGGTGAAGCTGGAGCCCAACGTCATCTACACGAACTGGTCGGGAGCGGCGCGTGCCAGGAGGGCTGCTAAGGAACGCCCCGACACGGCCCAACAGGCCCCCAAGAGGGCCCCCGGACGGCCCAAGAGGGCTCCAAGACCGCTCAAGCGGCACCCAAGGCGGGCCTGGCGGGCTAAAAGACTGCCGAAGATGGCACGACAAGCCTTCAGATGGCCGAAGAGGTGGCCACTATGGCTTTCAGACGGCCCAACAGGTTCCAAAGCAGCCCGAGAGGCCAACACAAGTTCATGACGTTCTGATCGTTTTTCACTGCTTCTGGATTGCTCGCTTTTTCGGGTTTCCGATGCTCCAGGACGGCTCAAGAGGCCCCTAAGGCCTAAGGTTCGCCAAGCACGGCCCAACAGGCCTCCAAGAGGCCCCCAGATTGCCCAAGAGGCCCCAAGGCCGCCCAAGCGGCCCCCAAGGCGGTGGGCTCCGTGACGGCCCAGGATGGCACGACAAGCCTCCGGACGACCCAAGAGGTGGCCAATCTGACTTTCAGTCGGCCCAGCATGGCCCCATGACTCCCTAAAGAGAGCTCCAAGCGGCCCCCCAGGAAGGTCCCGAGAGGCGAAAATCACTAATCATCCTTACAGTCGGGGCCCTGAAGAAGGAACCCTTTTCGTTGGGGAGGGGCTCCGCGTTCCTTAAGTGTTTCACAGCTTGCCTCGGGTGTTCCTTATGTTTTCGATGGGAAATCGAAGTTTAACTTATGGAAAGGAGGGCCTCGTTCCTTATTTAGGGTTCCTTAGGTCAACGCCCCGACTGTATGATCTTAGCGTTCTCGCCTTTTCGGGCTTCCGACGCCCCAGGACAGCCCAAGAGGCCCCCAAGATCGCCCCAACACGGCCTAACAGGCCTCCAACATATTCCCAACCGGCCACCGCGTGCCTCACGACCGCCCAAGCGGCCCCCTCAAGAAGAGAGGGGGCTCTCGAACTGGCAGTTCGCGCTTTCCGCTCCAAGATGATCCCAGAAATCACCACAAGACCCCCAGAGGCCCCCTAGAAGCCCCAGGAGGCCCCCAAGAGGCCCAAATGAGGTCCCAGGAGGCCCCCGAGAGGCTTCAAAACATCTCCCAAACTGCCCCCCAGATGCTTCCGAGGGAAGATACCTCAGAGAGCTCTGGACCGCTCCATCCACCACGGAAAGTAAGGCTCCCATGCGCCTTTTTTTGCTGTCTTTGGATACGCTCTGGTCTGAATGGGAGACTCGTTGGGGTGTCCTCCCTGAGAGTGCTCTGGACAGGCCGACCTTTGGGGGCATGGTTCGCAGTGCTGTCGAACTTCTTGCGTGCCTACGCAGCCCGCGCGCATCCTCCGATCTCCCCGGGTGGCCACAGCCACCATGGGACATCGATGGAAGCTTTGGTACTTATGTGATCGTTTTCTTTGTCGTTGTTTTGCCGATCGGCGCGGGCCCTCCCCCCCCCCTCCCCCCCCCCTGGAGTGGATCTTGGTTGTTTTGCGGCGCCTGCTTCGAGCAGGTGGAGCCTACCCCATCGGACACACTGCTGCAAACAGTCGCACTAAGCAGAGGTCCCGAGCGAGACCCCCCTCCCTCCGCCCAATGTCGAAGCGCCGAATAAGAAAACGCTCATTCTGCGTCTTAATTTCCAGCCGTGGCCCTAGTACGGTCTCGAGGCGGCTCAAGATCATCCTGGGGCGGCCCAAGATGCCCCCGATACCCGAGCGGCAGTTGCACGAAACTCGATTCTTCCCCACCAGTCTTGTGTCAGGTTCTCGTTTCGACCTCTTCCTTCCTCCTCTCTCCTCTTCCTCCTCCTCTCCTCCTGCCTCCGGCCTTCTTCCCGCCTCCTACCTCGCCGTCCTGTCTGGGGGCTCGCTTGGGGCCTGCGATGCGCGAAGCTGTCGCCACGTTCGAGGGCTGCTGGGGGGGGGGCAGCAGAGTTTGTACCAGGCACGGGCTCAGATTGTACCTCGCCATCCCTGGCGGGGGCTGCGAACTGCGAAACTGTCGCCACGTTCGAGGGCTGCTGGGGGGCCAGCATAGTGAGTACTGGGCGCGGATTCAGATTGGACCTCGAGTTCCCTGGGGCCAGCGGAGTGGGTGCCAGGCGTGGACTCAGATTGGACTTCGCCACCCTTTGAGGGGGCTGCGAACTGCGAAACTGTCGCCATGTTCGAGGGCTGCTACAGCCCCCGCGCATCCTCCGATCTCTTCGGACGGCCGCAGCCACGGCGGAACATCTTGAAGCATGAGGCCCATATGCGCCTCCAGTTGTTCAGCCTTGGCCCTAATGTTGCCTCAAGGCGGCTCAGCATCGTCATCCGGCGGCCCAGAGCGCCCCCTCCCGCAGCCCCATGTAACCCCCGAAGGCCCAGCAGGGCTCCAAGGTAGTCGCAGCATCTGCAGAAGCCATGCAGTTCGGTTTGCCCCGTGCGCTCCGGACTGTCTCGCATGCTTGTCGAATACCAGGCTATATGCTCGATATCTGTAGGCTGGCCCGCTTGCCTGCACGCAGCCTTCTGCTCCCCTTCATTGGGGCCAGTCTCTAACTGTTTCGACCGCGCTCGCTCGCTCGCTCTGCGATCCGCTCCCGGCAGCAGGTTGCGCCAGAACGCCGAAGCGGCGAGAAACATCCCCCTGCAGCAGCACCCTGCAGCGATCGGCCGCAGCGCGAAGTGGGCAGCAGAAGCGGGAGCGCACAGCAAGAGCAGGCAGCAGCAGCAGCAGCAGCAGCAGCAGCAGGCGGACAGCATCACGCACGGCCATCAGCGGCAACCGGCAGCCACAAGCAGCAACGGCACGCAGCAGCGGTAAGCATCGCCACCAGCAGCACGCAGCACGCAGCACGCAGCAGCAGGCAAGGGCACGATGTGGCATGCGCGGAATGCGCAGGTCGAGCCCCGCGTCATCATGTCAGCCTTTTGGCAGCATGTCTACAACCCACCATCAACATCATCACCTCTCCTCCTCCTCGTCCTTCATCCTCCTCATCGTCCTCCTCGTCCTCCTCCTCCTCCTCCTCCTCCTCCTCCTCCTCCTCCTCCTGCGTCGGCCCTGGCACCCGCAAAGACGGAGCGGCGGGAGGGCGAGGAGGGACAGGGGGACGGGACGACGTCGACGTCGTCCAGCCCCAGTCTCTACTACATTGCAGGGCCCAGTGCGTGCCAGAAGGGCGCAGGCTCCAATGGGTCAAAACCGCCCCGGGCTGGCCCCGGGCCGCCCCGGGCCGCCCAGGCAGGCTCCAGGACACGCCGAGAGGGCCCCCCGAAGCCCCCAAGACGGCCCCGGAGAGCCCCGGCACGCTTAAAGATGGGCCCAAGACGCCCGAGATTCGCCCCAGACGGCCCAAGAGGCGTCCAAGACGCCCGAAGAGGCCTCCCAAGAGGCGTCCCAAGAGGGCCCCGAGCGACAGAAATCGTGGATTTCTGTCGTGTTTTTCGATGTTTTCGGCCTCCTCGCCTCTTCGGCTTCCCGACGCTCCAAGACGGCCCAAGAAGTCTTCCAGACCGCTCCAAGACGGCCGAAGAGGACCCCAAGAGAGCCCCAAGACGGGCCATGAGGGCCCCAAGACGGTCCCAAGACGCCCCAGGACAGCCCCAGGACGGCCCAGGAGGCGCCCAAGACGGCCCAAGAGGCACCAAAGACGGCCCCAGGAGCGGCCCAAGACGGCCCAAGACAGCCCAAGAGGCGCCGAGGCGGGCCTCAGACGGCCCCAAGACGGCCCCAAGACGGCCCAAGAGGCACCCAAGACGGCCCGAGAGGGCCCTAAGAGCCCCCCCGGGAGGCCCAAAAGAAGGCCGAAGAGGCTCCGAAACGGCCCCCACGAAGCCTTCAGTGGCTTCAGAATTCCCTCCAGGAGCGGGGGAGCGGACGAGAGGCGACAGGCATATCGCAGGCAAAAACGCCCCAAGAGATCCCCAAACGGCCCCCACGAAGCCCTAAGTGGCCTCAGAATTGCTTCCAGGAGGGGGGGAGCGGACGAGAGGCGACCGGCATATCGAAGGCACAAAAGAACAATGTTGGACGCTCCGAGGGCCTTCGATGTTTCTCTGTTGGGGAGAGTCGTCGTAGGATCGACGATTGCCGACCGAGGGCATGGAGAATCGAGCGAAAGAGGAGGAGAAGGTGGAAGAGGAGGAGGAGAAGGAGGAGGAGGAGGAGGAGGGGCCTGGCGCTGCACTGCGAGATGTGGAAAGCCAAGCTGGAGCCCGACGCCATCATGATTGCCTTTCGGCCCTGCAGCCGCACCCCCCCGCGCTTGCCCAGAGACCCCTCGCCACGTCGAGCTGATGTCGTGGACGGAGTCCACAGGTCTGCCCTAGTCAGCTACAGCGCGGGGATCAGCGCGTGCGAGAAGGGCGGTCAGTGGCAGCGGGCCCTGGCGCTGCTGAGCGAGATGCGGGAGGCGAAGCTGCAGCCCAATGTCATCCCTGCTGCAGTGCAGGAGCCTCTGCGTGCCGGATGGTGCTCTGGACCGATCGCTGCTCTTGGCTCCCAAGAGGCCGCGGGAGGGCGACGCGCGCCCCGGGGGCAACTCCGACAGCCCTGCGGGCCTCGGGCCACGCCCCCTTCTACGGCCCAGCGCAGCCCAAAGTTGGCTGAAGAGGCGCCCAATACGGCCTTAGCTGGCTCGACGACGGCTGAGGAGGCCCCCAAGACTCCCCAAGAGAGGCCCAAAAGGGTCCCCAAGACAGCCCCGAACGGCCAAAGTCGTCCCAATCCCTGAGGGTAGCATATCGCGTGCTCTGTAGGCTCGTCTCTGCGTCTTCACCTCGCTCCAGCAGGGCAAATTCCCTCAAGGCATGGCAGCCTCCGGGGCCCCCATGAGAGCCCCAAGACGGTCCAAGACGGCCCAAGAGGCGCCCACGACTGCCCGTGAGAGCCCCAAGATTGCCACAAGAGGGGGAACTCGAAGTGACATTGCGCGCCCTCCGCCCCAAGATGATCCCCGTGACCGCCAGTAGGCCCCTCCTCCTCCTCCTCCTCCTCCTCCTCCTCCTCCTCCTCCTCCTCCTCCTCTCCT